CTGTATATCTGTATTAACAACATCTCTATCTATCAGCGCTGCATACTTTCGGATCGACGATTTGAAAAAGTAACCAAGTCCAAAAGTATATGTACTGCGCATGACTGGACTACACAGGCAAAGCTCCTCGGTGTGTTATTTATTTGCATCTACTAGGCGTAGGCAAGGCCTAAGTGTTTGCAAAACTGGATAACCTGAAAAAAAAAATGTATGGCTCCCTGGCTCGCATGACTCGCACATTGGCTCGCATGACTCGCTGGCTCGCACTTTGGCACTACTCATGGTAGCTACATGTTCACAACATTCCACAACGACAGGGGCTGAATTAAACCGTAACATTGGGGTAACCCCCTACTCTTCCGAAAGATGCAATTGGTTTTCTGGACCTCCATTTTCAGTCCCTATCCGAGAGAAGACTTCGTTCTACCTACCTCCTTGGTTCTACCAACCAAACCATGGGCGAGGAGCTACTGGAACCAGCGTCGATGTTAAGGCGGTAGCAAGCGGCGCCCCTGCCTTACCGCTCGGCCACTCGACTCGCCCAAGAGATTAAGATTAGTATTGCTAAAGGGGGGGGGGGGTAGGGCTTCATTTCGAAATGGGCTTCTTCTCCAGATTAATTCCATTGGGCTTCTATTCCAGGTTCTATCTACGGTTATTTTTTTACATAGATTCTAGATTGGTCAGGTTCAGTTTTAATTGTTTTATTCTAGTAGATTTAAAATGCTACCGTAACCTAGGATCTAAAAGCAATTTGGTCGGACATTTTTAACATTTTTTTGTAGTTTACGTTTAACATCCAGAAAATTGGGAAATTAAACAATTTTTGTTTGTCTTATTATTGATATAGACACTATGCTTACTTTATAAATAAATAGGCGTATTTTATCAGTTACCAGTGAAAATTTTAAGTTTGTTAAACTTAGGATTACGCTCGTTTGGTGTACCGCCTATGTTAGATTTACCTTGTCGAATTGAAAATAACTAAAACATGTTGTTTGCCTTTCCCACTGTCTTTTTATTACTTTTTAAGTTAATACACATATATTTATTATATTATAATTATCAGTATTAGGATATTTAATAGTCCTTCAATGAATAGAAAATGTAAGACATATCCCGCGGCCGAACTTGTTGGCGATCGAAACTGTCCTACACCCTTACGGGTAGGCCTACTTAGAAAGGGCAGTTATGCCGAATGTCAATTTTCCGATTTTCACTACCACCTGCATTTAAAAAAAATAAAACCTTGATCGCCATACATGTAGCATGTCAACACCAATAAATATTAATAAATTAAACTATAAAATATATTGGCCCTCTTTGTGTAATTTGTTTGTTTATGATACGACTTGACCTCGACGTGGAATAGTGCACAGATGAAAGTACAAAATGGTTTATTACGTTTATTAGCTGAAAAAAACACATGGGTACGGTATATAAATATATTTACTTTTGATTGAAGGACGACGAAAAATGAATAATATAATTTGCACTGCATTTCAAACAACTTACCAGTATAAAAATGTTCATAAAAGTACGTTAAACTATTGTCTACTGCCTTATCGCATCAACTATTTTATATGTTCATCTTTTGACTTTTAGTCAAAGTTTTTAATAACTAATAACTAATATTCTTTTATTACTGCAGGTCGAATATGTCACGAAGGTATATCACATAACCTATGTATCACAGAATATGATGCCTTTAAATTTGTTATTCAAATTTTGTATGGTGGAGTAAAATTCCATAATAAACTAAAACAACAATTAATGCCAGTCTCTGGAGAAGAGAAAAATGATATGTTGTACTGTACAACTGCGCTGATTACAGGCTGCAATATTATGGAATTCTCCCCAGGGAGCTGAGTATGTGTTCCATATGTGTTTGATCCAATGACCAGGGTAGTAATGTGAAGCGCTTAGAGGCATTGTGCATGAAGCGCTATATAAGAGCGACATATTATTATTATTATTATTATAAGACACAAAAATGCTGTCTGACGGAAAACTCAAGGACAGTTAATGAGATGCAGATTTTGAACATTTAAAAACTAGGGGAAAAGGTGGATAAAAAAGTGTGGTTCCGCCAGCTTTTCCACAGTTTTTAAATATTAAAAAAATCTATCTCGTTAACCGTGATGATATTTAGTATTATTCTTGGTAACAACAATTCAAACAAAAACACATCGAGATGTTCATAATATGTATTTAATTTCTTAGATAGGCCTATTCAATAAATGATAATAATTTGTGCTGGTATTCATATTTTACATTTTTCCCTTAATTATTATTATGTTGTACTTATTAATAAATTTTTTTTTCATATTTTGTTTTCAATTGTAACTGTTTTTAAATGTCGTGAGAAATTCAGCCGCAAAGATGCAAACCGATATCATGAAAAAAAGAAAATATGAACCTCTAATTAATACCATAGGGATTATAATCTAATATAGACTAGACATGCATATTTATGTCAATTATCTTAATTATTGCAATCGTATTTCAATCCCAGGCACCATGGTGATGAAACAAGCTCTTTCCAAGATTGTGGATGTGGCAATTAAGGTGCTTAATTTGTATGGAAAGTCTGAAGGAAAGCGATAGTTGTAACTTGTATCGCGAACGCAGTGTCCTAAGGTGGTGGATAACCTAGCTATGTGGTCTAAATACGTTCAAGTTTCATAATTATTTTGTAAACCGTATTAGTCATACCCCATAACATCCTTTTTTTACGCTAAGTACAACATCAACAACATCAATTTTAATTAATAATGATAATAGGTTTATTACTACTATTATTTTATTATTATTATTATTATTATTATTATTATTATTATTATTATTATTATCATCATTAAATTAATATTATTGAATAATAATAATAATAGTAATAATAAATAATAATAATAGTAATAATAATAATATTAATAATAATAATAATTATTATTATTATTATTATTATTATTATTATTATTATTATTATTATTATATCATCATTCTTATGTTGTGTTGTTCCCAAGTAATTAAATTACTGTCTTCCAATTCAAGGGTTCTGTGATTTCATATCTTTAATCTTATGAGACACGGCTTCGGTGGCTTCACTAAAACAGCCAATGAGCAATCCAGTTATTATAGTAGAGATCATTTGTTACGCTCCTGATCGCAGTACTTAGTGATAAGCAATAATTTAACTGGATTTATGTTTGTTAATTCACTTATATTTGTCTATTTCTAAAATATTGCTAGAATGAAAATATACAAAGCAAGTTACTATAAGATTTAAAATATTGTTCAGTAAAATACCTATAACATTAATAAATTAAACACTTGTAAATAGTAATATAATATATAATGCACAGATTTAACCCTATTAAGTGTTGCATACGTAATATGAAAACATCTAAACAACTTTCATTGTCATATTATCAATTATATACAATTTTAAAATGTTTTAGAACAACACATAAAGTAGAAAAGGTAAGTTCGTTAAACTCTTAGTAGCCACTATATCACCGCTGAACCGTAGTTATTCTTCCTAACCCCGGTCTCCGGTTTAATCGCTTGTCTCCTTGGTTTCAGCTAAATTGGTCCCGTGTGCAATATGACATGTGGACGTTGTCGGGCACACACTGCGTCGTACGACCATCGGCCGACGAAACCACTTCGGCTCGCTGAGCGCTTGAATGTGCGACGAGGTTAGTTGATTGGCAGTGGCGCCGTCTGAGCGGTCGCGCGCTTCGTCGTGTTACGACCTATTATGAAAAATGCATCGGCTGACGACCGTCGGCGCGGTGCAGTTTGTACCTGGCTTTAAAGAACGCAGTAGGAATAAACTCTTCGGTAAAGGCCAATTCAGACTGCGTCGGCCGACTCAGCCCGACCCGATTTATCGTTGGGGACAGTCTTAAAGCCCCATTCCCGGCAAAATTTCAATTTTTAAGAAAAATCTAATTTTTGTATAATGTTATAAAGATTTATAAATATAATACGGAATTGCTAGTTTAACTGAATTTAGAATGAAAAAAATGTAAAATAAGACTGAAATTTGATTTTTTGTGTTCCACACAAAAAATAATATGCGGATGAATTTTTCATGTTGATTTTGCGATAGGTCGTGAGAAGAAATATCGTAGGCGCCGAAAACTTTAGCCTATCCAACGCTGCTGGCTAGGCCTAGCCTTACCTCGATTTTAGGTTCTGTTATCACACATAAAAACGGCCGACATGATATTTTCCGTTGCTAGTATTGACACTTGTGAAATATAATATTTCAGCAGTTTGTGCCTGGCTTTAAAAGAACGCAGTAGGGATACACTATTCGGTAAGGAGCAGGAGATTGTCTCCATGTGTACTGCCAAAATCACCACCAGACGGACCCAACTGGAATTTCTTCCGAGTGGGCTATTCTTGGTGATTTGAAGACTGAATGCTAGGTACATGCATGTTATAACGTTTACAGCAACAACATAATAACTTTTTGAAATTTGATTTGAATACCGGTTTTGTTATTGCATAGATCAATGGATTAATTGTTGAGTTGCACCATAGTATGTAATTCACGACCTCCCAAATAGTATTTTCAACACAATCATCACATATTGCTGATATGATCGAAACGATATAAAAAGGAAGTCTGCAGATAAGAAATGCTGCAACTAAAATCGTTAAATTCTTTGCTGCACGTCTGTGCTTCGTCAGTAACCGAGTATTACTAGGTTTTACGCCGTTTTTCGAAGTATATTCGACTTGAGCATTGCTGACTTGACCTCTTGACCGTCGGCGAATGTTGATATAAATGACCAGGTTACAGCCGACAATAATACTGAATGGGATGATGAACTCTATAACAAACGAAATTGTGTTGAAAACTACACTATCTATTGCCTCTAATTCGCACTCCTGGCTGTAATCAACCCAGCCCTCGTCTACCCATATTGTCCATTTGAATACTGTTATAGAGTAAAATATTGCCACAATCGCCCAACTGGTCCCTATCATGATGCTTACTCGTCCCAAACTCTGAAACCTGAAATATCTCAATTCCATGGTAACAAGCCAGTAGCGATCCAACGTAATGCAAGTCATGGCTACAACGGACATATAGCATACGATATAGTCTGTAAAAAGGAAAAACTGACATGCACCCTTGCCGAATGGCCAGTAACCGACTACGACCCATATTGAGTTGAGGGGTAGCGATATACACCCCACAAAAAAGTCTGCTATAGACAGATTAAAAATAAACCAATTATCATATTTCTGTCGGATACTGCTGTCTCTCAAAAAACTGACTATCACCAGCGAATTCCCAAAAATCGTCGCTGCACATACAAAAAACAGGACGATCGAAATGACAATTGCCCACGGCACCGTAAACGCTAAATTTGAACCCTCTGCATTCTGTGTGAAGTCAGTAACATTTCCAGTTGGAGAACCTGCTGTTGGAGTACCAACGTTAAGTAGGGAGCCATTACCATCCTGCGTATACATATCGCTGGTTAAACTTGTCGTCCACTGTATAACGAGGTACTGTATTCTGCAAATATTACTTATATTTGCTGGTTGACTAGAAAAGATATTTTATATGGCTTACGTCCAAGCCGATAATATGGATACAGGCGCGTACAAACACTGTCCTGCTCTTCTTTCACCGGCTACGTTGTACTAATGGTAGATTTATTATATCCACTCTGTCGTCTATACTATCGAAGGAACCGTTAGTTATGCCTCATTACTGTCTTCTTATAACGAACCGGTTGCATTATATTGACAGGTTTTTTCCCCGAACTGATTTAGTCAGTATAAATATCCGATTATCTGAAATTTGGAACACGGACGTGGCACTAAGTAGGTTTAGTCTCTAAATCAATGCAAAATAAATGTTACAATGTAATTCCAAGTGGTGGTGTACATCTTCGTGTCTATTTCATCAAGAAAGTATAGCATTGTCACGAAAGGTTGAGGTGCGCTTGCGCATTATATGTGAGCAAGATATAATGACGTCTCTTGAATTTGAACTGTCCTTCTGTAGCGAATCATTTTGCTGTTAGTTGTGTTTTGAAATAAATTTGTAATTAAATGTCCAATACCGTGGTGTTTTGTATTCTGCGTATAAATGGTGCTCTATCAGCAAAGTAACCGCCTTAATTATGCAAAATAACCTCCTTTATGAGTTTAATCAATTCCCTATGCCTCAGTATTCTGAAAATATAACAAGTAGAAGAAAATGAAATGACAGTTAAAAGTTAATGTCCACAAAATTACAAAAAAATAGAACACAATAATTGTAAATATAGGTTATTTTGGCTTAGGCTTACATATTACCTGCTGATATGTTTCTTATACGGCAAAACTGCTGTTGTATTGATAAAAGCTGGCTATACCAAAATTTAAAAATGAGATTTTTCCCATGCAACCATTGAGAGCATGGTGACCATTGAGAGTATGGTGAAGAGTCATGGACTCTGACAAAGACATTAGAGAGAGGTATCGATGGTTGTTATACAAGCTTACTTGGACATGGCTTACTACAGTAACCTGTTACAAATAAAGGACCTGTATCACGAAACTTTGAGGGCACGAAGATTAGCATTTGCTGGACATGGCTACAAAAGCAAAAATGAAGTTATTTCAAGGGTTCTCTTTTCACACAAATACTCAGCAAGAAAGACAAGTTGACGATTAGATAGACTGGTGTTACAACACTTGTAATCGGTGAATAAAGCGTCATTACGTCTGTTAAATTGATCACACTTGAAACGAATATTGAAAATGGTTTTGCAGACCTTGGTTTTATCGTAGTCTCTTATCTGCTACCGTATATCAACAATGTCAACGTAGAAAAACAGCAATGTCAAATTTCAGAACAGATGAGAAACACGTAAACAGTTTGACTAGCGCAACTAGAAATATGGCAGGCCTAAATAATATGGAAAATTTACCAGTTCGAGGCAATGCCGATTATTGAAGCGTTCTCAATAATCACCTTCCGTCAGGTTTCTGTGTATATAATCTCGCATTATAACGTCTCGCCTAAACTGTGATTTTATTTGGGTTCTGGGCCTAATTGCTTTAATCACACTCGTGAGTCGTGACCCGTCACTTAATAGGATACATCACCAATGATCCGCTCAGCAACACTGAGCTGCTCGTTAATTAAGATCTGGAAATGGTACTTAAATATTTGATCAGTGTTTGAAGTTGCTGGCACCGTTGTTTGCAGTTTTGCCCGTACTTAATTTATGTCAATGGTAGATTATGCTATGTAGCATATATATTTGCTGTCATCACACTTTATAACACAAGGTCCTATAATAATATTTAATTACTGCCGTGTAGCCTGTAGACTCTTCACAAAGTGGGGCAATCTTAACAATAGACCTACAGGCCTGTTGTTTTATTAAAACAATATATCTACATATACATATGGTATTTCAATGACAAAAGCTCAGAACAAAGATAATGATGATAAGAATTGATAATGTTATGAAAGATTGTGCAGTGTAATAGTTATGATACGTTGATGATTGATAGGTAAGGCTTGTTAATATTCTAAATTTAAGCATGTCGCGTGATGCATTGCTGTACTGAAATCCCAACAGTAATAATTCAGAATTAAACAGAGGATTTGTAACAAAAGACAGGACAAAAATAATTTTGACGAATGTATCGGGAACGGTTTTGATTTTTTTTTTTACACTGTGGGAAATGTCGAAATAACGACCTCCTTTTCCCAGTTTTTATATATTCAAACATCTGTGTCTCATTAACCGTTCCCGAGTTTTTCGTCAAACATTCCTTTTTTTTGTCTTAAAAAAGATCAACATATTATGGCTTTAATAAACTGACCATTTTTACAACGTATTAAATACGTAATAAATCTAGGGAGTTTAACTGTAATGCATAAAAGTAGGCCTATTATTCTGAAATAGTTTGCTAATTATATATCTTCTAAGTGCTTTTAAATAATGTTAATTACATTGCTCATGGAAATTGCTTGCCAGGGTAAGTTGATGGCCTCATTCTGACTAAAAGTGTTGCATATATTGTACTCAGATGTAAGTTGAAGAACCTTGAATAGATGCAGATTTTCCATGATAAACAAGTGCGTTTGTGTTTACAATACTAATATGGGCCTATTTAGATATTATTGCTCTATATTATGGAATTATCGGTGTCTCTTTTATTTATATTTGTTATTCGTTTATTTTTTAAACGTTTTAGTGTAATTGTAACTTCCAAATCATATTAGTTCATTTCGATGTAAAGCGCTTTGTCACTTTAAGTTAAAAGCGCTAGTCCATTTATTATTAATATATCATGATTAAAGATACAATCATGCAAATTGTTATCCGAATGTGTCATGATCAAATGCATATAAATAATTTAAAAAAAAACAGAGGTTGTAGAATAAAGAGCTCACTCAGAATGTTAAATTGTGCTTTGTGAGAGATTTTGCAGAATACGCTTCATGGCCATTATTCATGATTAACTTATTGTTATAAATTCAATCTCTGACGATAATTCCTAGCGTTCCTTTTTGTCTCTCTTGAATGTTCAGTTATATAAACCAACCTAAGTTGTTGCTTTATTGCATATATATGTATATATATACATATATATACATATACATACATATATACATATACAT